GCTTTGCTTTGACGTTTCTGTTTCGATCATTCCCAGTCGCATAAAAACTCTCCCAATGAACTCTGTAGATTGTTTTATGAATGATTTTCATGTGGATTGTTTCGATGAATTCATGAATCAGCAAATGAAGCGACTGAATGACATACGCTATGGACGATTGCACCGATGGATTTGAGTTCACTCACTCGAGAAAAAGTGACACAAGCTGCGGGCAATGTTTACTAATCATGAACACTAAATGTTCATGAATAATGAGCAATGAACATTTAGTGTTCATGATTAGTAAACATTGCCCGCAGCTTGTGTTACTTTTTCTCGAGTGAGTGAGCTCAAATCCATCGGTGCACTCGTCCATAGATCTGTGCAGGGGTGAACTTTAGTTCATCTACTGAAATTTTTTTTGGCACAACAGCGAGGCCCTGTTTACTAAAAATGAACACATGAATAATGCTCGCGTAACATTTGAAAATAGCCTATCAACTTTTGTAAATAATTTGCTAGGTCCTTTTCACGAGAACCGAAGTACGCCCATGAAAACCCAGAGCACTGTCGGGAAGGGGAGAATTTCCCCTACCCGCTGGTGTTGTTAGTTTGCATGGGCGTATTCGGTTCGCGCGAAAAAGGCTTAATAAATTTTTTCTATAAAAGTTGATAGACCCGTTTCAAATGTTACGCGAATATTATTCATGTGTGCATTTTTAGTAAACAGGGCCCCGCTGTTGTGTCACTTTTTGTCGAGTGAGTGAACTCAAATCCATCCGTGCACTCGTCTATGCACATATTCATTAGGAATCATTTGAGTCGTAGGATTGCTTTCTAAAAAATCATTCGTGAATCAAATTTCTGAATCCATATGAATGTAAGATTGCATTTAAGAATTTGTGTGTAGAATGGAATAGAAGTCAACTCGCAAATGCTATTCTTCTATGCTTGTAGCTGTTTACGCTTATTTAACAAGTTTTTTTTCGGTCCGTAACATAGTTTTCTAGGTGCACTTCGTATCCGTCTTTTAGAATGTTTACGCATTTGTAGGGAGCGCATTGCGAACTCTCAACATACTGTTTTAGATGCACTTCCACAGTTATTAATTGAGAGCTTTCTATGCAAACCACAAGCACAATGATACTCTAGCGAAGTCGAGAAAATTTTCAACTCGAAAGATTCCTTCGACCGAACCCGCTGCCTCCGGCTTGCTTATAACGTGCCTTTACTGACGAGGTTATCTGAGACACCTGCGAGACGTAAAATATGGAAATCGTTAATTTCGCGATATCAAGACATACTGTATGCTTAAGAAACTGCTTTGATAACAAAACAGGGTAAGTGTGCTAGTTATGGTACTAAAGCTTCAATGTTTGGTCGTAGGGTCAAATCAAATTTGAAATAAATTTTCATGAATTCAATTGCGTACACACTACGAAAAAGTTGTTTAAATTTCGGTTCCCTGAGACCGACTCATGTAAGCGGCTCTTTTGACGTAGGAATCAGCTGAAAGAAACGAAATAATCAATTAAATCAAACGTTCTCTTCGCCGAGTAGCTTTAAAACACCTAATTTTACATGGAATGTTTGTTTACGTTCCACGATTCACGTCCAATATGGATTACGTTTTTGTGTAAAAATGGTTATTTCTAAGTGTGTAGGCAATGGTAACAAATTTGTTCCAAACTTGTATCGATATAAATTTAGAAAATAATGAATTGGCAATTAAGATAGGGCTAATTTGAGGATCTGTAGGGACAAAAACCCACTCTCACTTTTCCTATTACATTTGCTATTCATTCGTATTCTTATAAATTGATTTCGTCAGGAATAATGTTACGTAATGTACATAACGGGTGTTTAATAAAAAAATGAAATTTTTTTTAATCGTATAGCTGGAAAAAAAAATTTCTACGATTTCAGTATTTTTTATTAAAAACATAATGTTTATTCTTCAAAAACCGTCAATGAATATTTGAGAAGGGGGCCTGGTCAGCACTGAAATCATTCTCATTTTTTATTGAACACCCGTTACAAACTTTTATACGTCAATCTGAAATATGCAAATATGTTTTATTTTAGGAGAGCTACCGATGAAACATAATCTTATCGGTGTATTCCTCACCATTCCGGCACAACTTCGATACCACAGCAATAGGTACACCTACCCTAAATGGAGCGAAAATACTTTTGCAAACAATGTTTTCAATCACTTATTTCTAGCGAATAAGAGCTCACTATCACCAACAAATATTTCCCTACCTTGATGAGGGTTTTGTAGACCATGATTTAGACTTGTAGAATGCTTTCAAACCATGATAAAACTTCTAACTTAACTAGGGAAGCAACCTTTTAAAAAATAATAATAATTCCAGCCAGTCCGAAAGATTTATTTATATTCAACATATTTATATGCCCTTCGGAAATTGAATTGGACCGCATTTCCTCTTCCATCATATGAAGCACGCTGTATGCTCATCAACTTACAAACACTCAAAGAACGCCGCGAATTTGCAATGCTTTTCTTCATCATGGCATAGAATCATCAGAAATACTTTCACAATTAAACTTCTACACACCCTGTCGGCATCTAAGAACACGAAAATTATTCTCAGAAAAATCACACAGAACAAATTACGCAAAAAATTGCCCCTTCAATCGAATGATGCGACAGTATAATCTACACTGTGAAGTCATTAGCATCACTATGTCAAAATAAGAAATTAAAACCAAACTTAAACATTATAGAAATAATCCATAGTATGTAAGTAAAACAATACGAAATAAATAAATAAATAGATTATTCATCAAAAAAAAAAAAAAAAAAAATAGAACCATAATTAAAGCAGCATAAGTCATCAGTTTAAGTCATCTTCCTCACTCATCAACAGAGAAATCTTAGGGAGAAGGTCTGGATTGAGTTTAAGCAGGAGAGAATTCTAGACGGATCCTGCTGTAAGGTTCATCCTGCGCTCAGGTAACATAAGCTTCAGTGCACTAAATCCACGTTCAACTGACACCTGTGTAGCTGAACTTGGCAGAACGATCATCGCAACTCTGTAAAACTCGGGATTGATGAATTTTTGGGTTTCCCAATTATAGGAAACAAAATATTAGGAATTCTCAAATGAAAATGAAAGTGCAAAAATTACATAAAAGAGCCAGTTAAGAAGAAGTTTAAAAATATGACCAAAAGTTGATATTCTACATTTTTGTCAATCTTAAATTGTTCATGCTTTTAAAAAACTCCCAAAGTTTGCATTTTTCATAAGATTTATTTAAAATATAAATTATAAATATTTAAGATATATTTTTCGAAATATTTCAGTTTTTAACACTTTTTTGAATTTTTACTCAGTATTACCTCTATGAAATTACCGCAGACAAACAGACATAACACATTGAATATTTCAAACTGTAAAACATCGTCGCTAAAACATTACCGCCATCTGTTTTGATTACACTGTGGTGGGTAGTACGCTGAACAGATGGCGGTAGTGTGTAAACGTCAAACTCAAGGGAAATGACCTATGCGCGCCACAGGTGCCGGTACTACCAACTACGATACTTTTAAATTGACCGTTAAATGCTTGCTCGATGAACAACCTGCGAGTGTTATGTCTGTTTGTTTGTGGTATTACCAACAATCAATACGAAACTAACGATTTTAAATTGGCTCACTACTTGACTAGCCTATTGGATCCAAGCAAACGATTAACGTACCCCATTCTAGCCAAAATTCTAGTACTACACAATGTTTGTTTTGATTCGCTATGAAAGTTTGACAGATAAAATGAGGGGTTAGTGGATATTCCTATGTTTCGAAGGGTGAATCGTTTAGCTTGGGACCTAAGACAGTACCAGAGCTGAGCCAAACAGTTCAGCACGTTTCTTCGGGACCTTCTAGTCTTAGAGTTACCTCTATGGTATTACCGAGGGGGCGACACATCTAAATCTCAATTTTGGATGCACAAAAAATCTCACACTAGCGAATCAATCTTCGAAAAATCTTCTTGCATTTCTCGCATTTACTTGCATCGCGTATCACCTTTTTGCAGGAAATCTTCAGCATCGTCATCAATCTTCTTTCTATCTACTCAGCGTGCGGTCAGCTAGCCACAGCACAACACAATCTTTCCTGCAGCGTAGATAGAGTCGTCCTCCTCGGGTATTACCATGTATATATTTTTTCCAGAACTACTTAACTTTTCTAAACAACTTTGTCTCGGACGTCATTTCGATCAGAAGTGACGTTTTAGTGCTACAATTTATTGAAAATTGTCAAAGACGCCATTAAAAAAATTCATGATCCAAAATGGTCCAATTTTTGCAAACATGTCATTTATTGCCCATAACACGTAACTATGCAAAGTTTCATGCAAATCGGAGTAGGACGAGTCTTAAATTTTTGAAAAAGGTCTACGGGTAAAATTAAAATTAATGTATGGGAAATGGAATAGAAGTCGAATCAATTCAGTGCCAACATTTCAAAGTGGCGTTATCGCTTTCGTAAACAATGGCTTTAGCCGTCGATTTCTCGTAAATAAAATCTCACTTCTCCAAATTAACAATGCTAGATGTTTGGTAAAAAATGAGCAGTCACTACTGAACAGTCTTGTTCCGTTTCCTATCTATTTTCCTAAGTTTAAATTTCTCCCGCAAATCCAAATCGCAATCAAATTCGTTCAAAATTGGCACAGTTGTTAGGGACCTCAATACAGCTCTAAAGAGCAGTGGGTTAAGTTGACCCACCCTAACCTACATATTCCTTCTAAGAGCTTGCAAGCTCCATAACCATCACCACCGACGATGCTGCCGCCACACCACGCCGGTAAAGTTGCTGCCTCACATCTCCATCTGTGGAGATCGGTACATGTGCACATATTTCCCATCTTGAGCTCGAGAGTGAAACAAGTCCGCAGCAACCGCATGGCTGGGCCCGAGATGCACGGAATGGAACGGCCGACAGCTCAGACTTTGTCTTTTATTCAAAATCGAAAGTGAATTGATTTCAGCCTCCGCAGTCTTATTTCGACCTTCTTTAGCACAGCATCGCGATTCGGCTCTCCCGGGGCTGGACTGGACACTCATACCAGGTGGCGTATAGGAGAAGAAATAAGCTCTCGGGGCGCGCGCGTGGCCGCGATCTTTCGCACTGTGACTATTTGTGTGCTGTGTTGTTGTTGTTGTTGTTGTTGCCGCGGCTCGTATTTCTAGGGGGTTTGATCTCGTGTAGCGACTGGCCGCTGCTTGGTGTCGCCTTCGACTGGATCTTGGATTGTGAATATTGTGCAATGCGACAACGACGACGGTGACGTCGGCCACAAAGACCACGCTACGGACCGAAGACGAGGCAAAGGCGACGACGACGACGACGACGATTGTGGCCGGACTTACATTCTCGTTTTCTCATGTGTTTCGTGCTACTAGTGAATCGAGTGCTTGATTGGATCTCGATTGTGGGTCCATACATGATTGACCGCCAGCTTGTGGCTACTACACGGGCTCTTAGTATACATGAATGCCGGAGTTACACTGACGGTTGAAAGTTGCTGGAACACGTTGTTTCGTTGGACATGTGGCAGTGAATGGTTGGTGTCTGCAGTGGAATATATTTGAAGTAAAAAGGAGAGAAGAGTTAGTAATGAAATTACCAGTTGATTCCGCTAGTTTAATAGCTTTTCCTCGAAAGATACGTGCACTTAATCTACGAAGTGCAGACTTCTGCAGTGTCTAGTACTAAAACTCGAGAATTAGTATTTGAAATTAGACAGATGAATTTTGCGTATCTGACAACGATAAGCGATTAACTATAATTGTCTGTAGAACAGCTTATACCAAAATAAATTACCTATGCTGCTAAAATTAGGCTTACTCAGCTTTGAACCAGCTAAATTGTTTGCTGCGAAAGTTGTAGTAGTTATTAAACGGTAATGACTAAATCAAGGATGAATTTTCAAAAGGACGTATCTGATTTAATCTTTCATGTGGAAATGGGTGGAAATGCTTATGTGAGAAACTGTTTGTGTATTACTGTATAGTAATAGTAGTAGTAGTAGTAGTAGTAGTAGTAGTAGTAGTAGTAATAGTAGAAGTTGTTAATTTACATATATTTCGCATACATACATCAATTCCACGTGTTTTCGTTTGTTGTTGTCAGTTGACTATTGAGTTTTCCACACGAACACGAATGCAGCGTGTAAATTCGTAGGATTTTGACAATTTATTCTTACATATGCACTCAATTCAATATATATGCAGCTGGAGAAGACTATTGATTGGTTATAGAGACTATTATGGGCGGTTGTATTGAGGCACTGTGTAAGAGTGTGGTAGTGAGAATAAAAAGAAAACAAATAATTAAGGGTTGTGTCCCAAGCACGATCGCATTATTGACGTAGAACTACGAATTTTTTTTTTTAATAATTTAATCAATAATTTCATAATTATGCTAAAATAAACAAATCTCTAATTTCAAGTTTTGAAATTAGGGGCTATTCAAAAGCGTTAAGTGAATTAAGTTTCCATATTTCTAAATTCAGTTTCTATCCCGTTCAAAATTAGGTTCCAAACATGTACAAACATGAATAATTTTTTTTAACATTTGTTTATACTTTATCTGTGTTCAAACAAACATTGATCAAATAGCGAACGCTGTAATTAAATAAATTTAACGTCAATTAAGTTGATTCATATTTGTTTACACAAAGCATAGGGCTGTATTTAAATTTGCAAACATTATAGTACCAGAGTGATAAGTCTTTGTCCGGCTTTGTTTCGCTGATGTATGCATGAAAGTTGCAAATACGGACAAATCAATAAACACTTAGATTTTGGTTACCGAGATGGGCACCAGCGAGCAGCACCGCAAACTGTTTTGCTGGATCTCAGTGAAAAATTTACCGAGATTCAGTTAACAGACGGGAATTGTGCCGAGATCTCAGCTAACAAACATAAATTTAGTTGAGATCTCAGTAAAAATAAATGCCAAGCCTGCTCGGTGGTGCCAATCTCGGCAAACAAATCTAAGTGTGTACGATACAGGCCAATACGTTACATGCGTGTAATCTCCATTTCACAAGTAATGATGGCAGTCTTAAAACAGCAGATGAAATGAAAGTTGAAGACAAAAACAAAATGAAACTACCAGAAAATCTCTTCTTTCAAGGTCTCTGCCCAAGTAACATTGCAAGTTTTTTCGAGGTTTTAAAGAATTCTAGAAGTCTAAATGGTGGTCTACAGAACCCTCATAAAACCAAAATTGCTACTTGGGTGGACTATCTTAAAGACTTCAGAACTTCTGAAGTAACCTCACAATTTCCTTGAAATTAATGCAATATCAACATTGAAGTTCACTGATCTTCCCGATTATCCTGAACCTCTCAGAACTTTTTTGAAGATTGTTCTCATAGCTTCCCTAAATCTTTCTTAATTATCCTGATACAAATGAAACTGTCCCAAATTAAACTTGTTTAAAAATGTTTTATGAAATTATGGAACAATAAGATATAATCATAATATTTTGTTTGTGTAAACATCAAGAAAATATTTTGAAGTTTGTGTTTGACACATAATACCAGCCAATTTTGCTACATGTGAGTCACAATAAGCGATTTTGTCATTTATCTCACCCACTCTTCGCGAAGAGGCGATCAGAAAATCGCTCATTTTGACTCTGTCAAAGCTAAATTTTCAGGTTTTATGTGTCAAACACAAACTTTACAATCTTTTCTTGTTACTTACACATACAAAATATAATCATAAATTCTTATTATTCCATAATTTAATAAAACAATTTTTTTAGCCAAAATGAATGGAAGGCACCCTGCGAAAACCATTAAATTTCCCTGAATGTCTTTGGACTTGTTAAGTTGCCAAACTATTGCTGATGTTTCCTTAGATTCATTGGAGTCCTCTGAACTTTCTTGAAATTCCCGGGTTCTCGAGTTTTAACAGAATTTAATGAATCTGTTTTTAATTTATTGGAACTTTCCCTTACAGATCTTTAAACTTATCCTAAATTCTCGAATTTTCTGAAGTTTCAGATCTTCTTAAAAGTTCCTGTAATTTTCTTGAAGCTAATGGAACCGCAATAACACTCTGGACGCATCCCTGAAGTCCCGGGGAAGTTAAAAAACAAACTGGTGGGAGACGACGGAAGAACATTTTTAGGGAAGTCGAAATAACTTTCTGGTAGGAATCGGAAAATAACTTACGGAGTATTATGGATGAAAATTTTATGGAAAAGTTGGAAGAAACTTCTACGGGAATATTAAAATATATCGGACAATATTCATATACATCTTACCCATCGCTAACCACGTTCAAAGCATAGGAATGCCATGTAGTAAGTGTGTGTTTAAATTTTCGATAGAAAGCATTCCATATCGCAGTTGCAGTTTAACTGATAATCCAATGGAATCTATCAATAATCACATAGAATGAACAAACCTCCTGACATTGCAATGTTATAAGATGGATCCAATAAACCCCACATGTCGATTTGTTTCAGTGTACCAATCGGGTCTATAGGGCCTGTTCATAAACTACATAGACAGAGAAAGAGAAGGATTTGTATTTTCCATTTAATTCCACTACTTTATTTGCTTATCCTTGACAGATACGCGTATTTCGCCTACAATGTGCAGACTTCTTCAGTGTCTTGTACTAATACTCGACTCGACTCGGAGTCGAGTATTAGTACAAGACACTGAAGAAGTCTGCACATTGTAGACGAAATACGCGTATCTGTCAAGGATAAGCAAATAAAGTAGTGGAATTAAATGGAAAATACTAATCCTTCTCTTTCTCATTTAACAGGTATTCCACTAAGACGCCCACATTCATCAGGATACGTAGACAGTTTTTTGGGATTATTGACCCCCCCTCCCCCTGCGTAGACAATTGTCCATACAAATGTTTTTAAATTTGTATGGGCCATGGATAATTGTCACCCCCCCCCCCCCCCTAAACTATCTACGTAGTTTATGAACAGCCCCATAAAAGGTCTGTAGATCTAGCCCTGACGTGTGTGTTGGTAGAGGGAAAAATGTAAACTTTGCGGGAGACTATGGTGACGACGTCATAACACTCGAAAGCAAATTAGCGAAATAAGAAGTAAAACAAATCCTTGCTATTTTGCAAAATGATTTTGCTTGATTGTTTTCTTTTATAAAGAAAAATATCAGCTGGTGATTGTTTTTTTTTAAACTCATTACTTCAAAACAGGCAAAAACTCACAAACAGGCTGCTTTTTCATGGTATACAATGTGATCATTCAATAATCAGTAAATTATCTCAACAATTATTTACTGACAGACCATTCATAAATTTTGGTAAAATATATAAATTCTATAATCCTATGCAAGTACCGATCGAAACAAACGTGATGACGTCACTACTAGGGTGATTGAGTGAACGAAAGAAACGAATCATGCGAAACGGAATGAAAGCCGAGTGAAAAACGAAGTACACCAATACATTCAAGCCTACAATTCCACACCTTGTATAGACCAGGTTGGGCTGGTTAAATATCATGTTATCAACGTGATCGTGGTAACACGTCAACACTTTTAACTTTAGGGAAATCACGGTATCTCTGGTAGGAAGCTATGAGAAAAGCTCGAAAGACAAAAGGTCGAACGACAAAAGGTCAAAAGACAACAAGTCGAAAGATAAAAGGTCGAAAAACAAAAGATCGAAAGACAAAAGGTCGAACGACAAAAGGTCAAACGACAAAAGGTCGAACGACAAAAGGTCTAAAGACAAAAAGTCAAAAGATAAAAGGTCGAAAGACAGAAGATTGAAAGACAAAAAGTCGAAAGACAATAGCTTGAAAGACAAAAGGTCGAAAGACAAAAGATCGAAAGACAAAAGATCGAAAGACAAAAGGTCAAAAGATAAAAGATCGAATTGAACTTAAAGGGGCATAAATGGTCGAACGGGAAAAATTTCCATTGGAAAGGGTTGATTGGAAATAGCTAGCATGTAAAAGGTCGAATGGACAAAAGGTTGAAATGGACAAAAGATCGAATAGACAAAAGGCTAAAATGGACAATAAGTCGAAGTGGACATAAGTTTAAAAAACCTACATGAA